CTGTTGAGACGTAAGCTCTTTGGGGCAGGGCCTGTCTCTCACAATGTGTATGCACACTGCCTAGTACAATGGAGCTCCAATCCTGGTTGGAACCTCTAAGAACTATGCAGATATGAAAAATGATGTACAATAATTTAAAATAATCGAAGAAAGCCCCAGTGACAGATGTCATGGCAAATCCAGATTCTTTATCAAATTCCCTACTATATAGGTAACAATGACTGTGCTCTTCTTCTTCTTGGCTCAGGTCTCTGTGTGGCTCTTGAGACAGGGACTTTTGGAAATGATTTTGGGGGGCTTTAGATCATTGAGTAGGGACAGTATTTTAAAAATTGAGTTAATATGGTGCATAATAATGCAAAATCAGTTTTTAGGCTAAATGAATATCTAGGTTTAAAATGATAGTATTTCAAGTTATAATCACTTATGTGGGAAAGAGGAATTGTTTTTGGCAGTTAATTTCTTCCAGTAACAAATCTAAGTAAACAAATCTTCTATGGATGCTCCATGAGGTGCTTTACTTGTGGGTCTGAACGTGATTGAGAAGGAGCATTTGACATCTATGCTGCTTGTTTGAATGGCAAGAAGCTACAGAGCTACTTGGAACAGGTAAAGGAAGTGACTTCTTGTGACTGGGTGCATTAGGCCCGGAGGCCCCCTGTTGGAGGCCTCGCAGTCCTATTGCCCCCAGAAAAGAGCAGTGGAGGTGGGTCCTCCAAGCTGCCTAGAGCGGCTGTGTGGGTCGCAGCCAATCATAAAGAAGCTGCAGGGAAGCAGCCAACCAGGGTCCAGCAGACTCCTATAAAAGGAGCTGCAGGTCCAACATGAGTTCAGTTTGTACTCCTGGCTGGCTGTAGGACTGGACAGAGCAGTTGTTGTCAGGGTCTGGGGGAGCAAGGAAGGTGAAGGTGCAGCTAGCTGCCTGCCTGCCAGGACTTGAGTAAGACAGGGGCCCCAGGGAAGTGGCCCAGGGAAAGGCAGTTAGTTAAAGGGATGTGGCACATGGCTACTACTTAGAGGTCCCTGGGTCTGGACCTGGAGTAGTGGGTGGGCCAGCCCAGGCTCTTTCCCCCCCCTACACTCCTCCAAATAGCCATTGGGGAAGTTTAAACAGGCTAGGGAGTTTAAACAGGCCCAGGGAAGGGCTGTATCTGAACTATTACCCCAGGAAGGGGCCTGAACTGAGACTGTCTCAGCTGAAGAGTTGGGGTTAGTGAACTGAGTTCAAGAGGAGTAGCTTAGCGGGAGAGCTGGGGTCACTGAGGAATCAAGTGAAGGCAAAGAGTCTCCAGGGAGGATGGGACGTTGCTCCATCCCAGAGCAGGAACTTTTGTCAGGTAGCCAGACCCCAACTGAGGGCATCATGAGGGGCCCTTTTGGATGGATTGAGCCAGAGAGGGCTTAACTTCAGAAGTTAGTTTATTAAAAGGGGACACAAAGTTAAAGTTCTATTTGATCTAGATTATAACACCACCCTCATCACCATAGGATCTGATTACCTTCCCGCAGCGCGTTAAGTGACTCGACTAACCTCTGTCTCTTTTTAGACGGTTTTCTCTCATCTGAGACTGGAGGAATGATGAAGAGGACAGGCAGCACCAAGAAGGGCTGGGAATTCTGCATAAAGGCTGCTGCAGCCTCTCCTTAACCCCACAAATCCTGTGTACCCTCCTGCTACTGACTGCAGTTGCTTTTCTGGTTTTACAGCAGGCCAATCAGTCTCCCCTTATGCAGCATTCATAAGGACTACAGGAGGAGAGCACTGCTCCTGAGCAATTTAGGAGATACACAGGTGAAGAAAGCAGATGCCATGTCATGATCCCAAGCATTGCTGATGGAGCGGGATTTTACGTCACGTGGCAACTTCAGCCTTCTGGTCATCACAATTATGATGTTCTTTCTGCTGCTGGTTTCCTGTTTCCTCATTCTTCTGATGAACCACAGTCTTTACTTAGGGTGACCAGATGTCCCGATTTTATAGAGAAAGTCCAGATATTTGGGGCTTTTTCTTATATAGGCTCCTATTACTCCCTCCCACCACCGTCCCGATTTTTCACACTGTCTGGTCGCCCTATCTTTACTACTGCAGAGTCCTGGAGCTTAGAAGCTGTTGCATGCCTCACTTCACCTCTGCCTGGACAGTAAATCTCAGCAGAAGAACCCCATCTGAGAGAGAGAGAATTTGGGAAGGTTGGTAATCATTTTTATCCTTGCCCCTGTTTCAGTTTGGGAAGACTTCTTTAGCACGACATTAATGTGGACTATGGAACTTTAGTGCGCACCAGCAGGGTCTATGCAAACCAATTAATGTGCAACATATTAGTGCACTTTAGAAATCACTCCCCTGTAGTAGTCCATGTTACTGCTCTGTGTATATAAGCCCGGGAACGGGGACATCTCCTGCATAGGGAAAGGGGTGAAGTCAACACTAATTGAGGAACCATTTCTGGCATTTTCCCAGCATTTATTGGATGTACACCAATTTGATTTTTTTGTATTGGGGGTGTTGTATTGGGTGTCTACCTAAAAATCAGAAGCCCTACCTATTCTACATGAGGCTTTGCTCACAATGTAGTCAAACCGCACAAGGCTCCTGGTACAGCTGAATGTCTTGTTATATGTTCTCATATTATCATTGCCATGCTAGAAATTAGAGACAGCTTTACCAGCACTTAAGAAATTATTTCCTTTTTCTGACAAATATTGTGGACTAACCAATTGGTGATTCTTGCTTTTAAACTAAATGATTGTGTTGCTTAGTTTTTTTTTTTTTTTTTTTTGGTTTAAGATGGTAGGTAGGCTGTGTATTTTCAGTGGCACAGTGGCTGTTAGGACTATTGTACATCCTCTAGTGGATTACAGCCTGTAAGATGAGAATCCTTGAGTCTAGTTCTCTCTTGATACTGGCAGATCTCTGCTCATGCTGCTACAGATAACAATCACTTTCTTATAATCACAGCTGAAAACCTTCACCGTTAGAGTTGTGGAATGTTAGCAGTGTCCCTGCAAAAGTTCTTCCCTTTTGGTGGAAAACTGATAAATAGGGTACCTGTGAAAATGATTTTTGCATGTGATGGTAAAAGGAATAGGTATAAAAAAGCCAACCAGCAAGTAAGAATTTATGTAGAGTGCGCTGTTGTCTTACGTCTTTCTGGGAGTGTAATGTGGCAGCCAGCAGCCCATTGTGTTTAAAGAGAAAGGGAGTGGGTGGAATTGGAAATGTAAAATTTTATGATTAGAATTCTCAGATTAGAATAGGATTTATTTTTTTTAAAGGTCATACTTGTTAGGCATCTGAATGGGGGTTTTGTTGATCCAAATGCCTTAGTCAGGTGAAGTAATCTGGGAACTGGATTGTGTCATATACACCTATTTTCCCCAGCATAATGCCAGCATTCACAGCTGCTGAAAGGTGGCCTTTAAAAATAAAAAATGAGCTTTTGGAAAAAAAATACATTTCCTTCCACACCTGCATTGTTTGAGGCTATTGAACAAAGCTAAGCATTGCAGTTTGCAATTCTTTGCACTCAAATACTACATCACTGTATTATGAAGGAAACGCTCCTGATATAATTATGCATGGCATGTTGGGGTCAGCAGCCCTGGAGGCTAGACCTTGAACCTCTTTTTGATTTTTTGCTTATCTCAATAACGTACCTTTCACTTGCCTTCCCTGTATCTTGTCATCTTTCACTAAACCACTGCGTGGGTTCCTGAAAACCAAGGTTAAAAAAAACAGCTGTCATTAATCTTAGACTTTTAATTACCATAATTCAAAAATGATGTAAAAAAATTAATTCTGCACCAGTATCCTATACTCTTAATAAAATGCTGCCTGAGGGGGAGTGTTAGCTTCCTATCCGCTCCCCTTTCACCCTGTACAGTCCCTCCTGTAGAGCTCTTTACAACTTTCCAACCAGGATGTGCCAGGCAGGCACTTTGCACCCTCACTACCACCCCACCTTCTCAATAGGGCAGATACCTCCCCAGATTTTTGAGGGGGAGGAGCAGGATGCAGATTTACATTCCCCCTTCCCCCCCCCCGTGTTCTTCTGCAATACTAGCCTGCAGGGTTTCATATTCAGAATTTAATGTAAGGGAAAAAATCTGCCTCTGTTATGGGATGTCACACTTTTGTCCAACGTTATAAAATATGAAAGGTGTCAAGAGCCCACAACCCCCCCTTATTGTGACCGCTGTTTAATGGTATCACTTAGTTCCTTTGGCGTGGCTTGTAGGATTGAGTAGCTTTAGACCCCGGGACAGCTGGCCCGTTTCGTTCGTTGTTTCTTTTCTGTAAGCGCTTGAGTTAGCAGGAAACTTTCCATGCGGGATAATCTCCCCCACGGGGGCGGGTGGGCATAAAGCCCCCGCTGTTGTGCAGTGTCTTGGATCCCCCCCTTTCCGCAGGCCAAGACGAGAAGCAGGTCTCTCCCCTCGGTTGTGCAAGGCTGTGGTTGGGTCACTCCACTTGAGCCAGCAAACTGTGTGTGTGACTCTTGTCATCACCGGGCTTAAAGGCAATTGGATGAACTTAAACTGCTCCGACTCCAGCTGGAGGGGCCCCTCCCCGCGGGAGGTCAATGTATCTCCGTGGGTCGGGGGGAGAAAAAGCCCCAGAGGCGCTTCGGCAAACCGGACCCATCTCCCCCCGGGGGGGCTCTTCCCCGGGACGGGAGCAGGCGAAGCCGGGAGAAGTTGCTGCCCGGCCGGCGCGGGGCGGGAGCCGGAGCCGGAGCCGCGGCGAGCGAAGGGAAAGTGAGTGAGCCTGTAACACCAGCAGCCCCGACTCCGCCCCCCGCCCCGCGCCTGCCCGCGGCCCCGTGACGCCGCTCGGCAGCAATGGCACGGGGGCAAGGGGACGGCCCGAGGCTACTCGCGGCTTTAAAACGGGAGCGGGGCGGGTGCTGCCGGCAGTGCACCGCGGCGCTCAGCAACCCAGCCCGGCTCGGCTCTCCCCTCTCCCGGCCCCGCCGCCAGCCCGCCCCCGGCCCCGTCCCGGTCCCGCGCGCGGGGGCCGCCGCAGTTCCCGCCTGGGCAGCCGCCCCCCGCCCGCGCGCCGAGTCCCCCGCCGCGAGCGCGGCCCGCCCAACCGCCACGCTGGAGGAGCGCCGGAGGACCGAGCCCCGGAGGTGAGCGCGGGGCTGGGGCAGGTGGGCTCCGTGCGGAGCCGGGCTGCGGGCGGGGCGGCGCGGCGCGGCGCTTCCTCCCCTTGGCTCGGGGGTTTCCTGGAGCCCGGGGCGAGGTGCCGGAGGTGAGCGGGTCTGTGCCTGGGGAAAGCGCCCGCCCGGGCACCTGCCCGCCGGCGCTGCTGGGGCTTATCGGGCAGGGACTTGGGGTGTGTGTGTGTGAGCGGCATGCACCCTGCCCTTGCGTTTTACATGGATCCCCTCACTGCAGCCGGCTCCCCAAGGCAATGAACTACCCACCACGGGCCACCTCCGAGTCCCGGCGAGGCAAAGATCCGACAAAAGGAGAACTTAACACGTGCGTTTTTCAGGCGTTTCATGGCATGCGCTGCATACTGGGCATTTACAGGTTCGACAAGAAGTATAAGTACAGACACTCCTGTGTCCAAGAGAAAATGCCTGTATTGCACAAGCGTGTGTGTGCAAGACTTCGAGTGCAACTGGATAGGTCTGTGTGTGTATACACATGCACACACAACAGACATGTATATTACTTAGGTATACAAATTGTCGCCCAGATCCTGCACCCTGCTGTGCACAGCAGGACCCCAATAGCCATGCAGAAGCCAGTGGGGCTCTCAAAGAGCCAAAGGGTCCATCGGCATGGATCGGTTTGTAGGAACTGAGGCTCTTGTCTGTTGCGTGTGTACAGTTATTTTATATCGCTTTCCACAGTGGTTAAAGTAATTTTTCCATTAGCATTCAATTTGTCCTATATCTGATGAATGCAGAATTTTACTTGCATGAAGAAACCACAGGCTTGCCACTCTGAGAACTGCAAATGCAATCACTCTTTCTGTGGTAAATTTAACTGTAAGTGGCTGTCTTGCGCTGGCGAAGAGTGCTGGATTGGACCTAAAATGGGAAATGCATACCGCTAAGTCTGACTTTTTACACTGGATAAAAAAATAATAATAATCTTTTTCCTCAGTTTAACATCTGTGTAAAAAGTGACATTGGACCTTCCCCCCCCCCTTCAAACACTTCTATCTGGTGTTTACCAGTTGATACCTGACAGTATTTAAACAGATATTATTTGGAAACTTTTGATAAATCAGTAAAGCTTACTAATTAAATTGTCAGCAAGAACCATTTCAAGGAGATCATATTTCCTTAAACAGTCTTCAAATCTCATCTGGCATTTTGCTGAATGGGAATATTCCACTTCCATAAACAAGCTGAAGGTGTCAGTTTTGCAACAAAAAAACTTCAAAAACAGACTCCAAAGAGAGACTGCTGAACTAGAATTAATATGCAAATTAGACACAATTAACTTAGGTCTAAACAGACTGGGAATGGTTGGGTCATTACACTAATTGAATTTTTTTCCCCCCATGTTAAGTTCTCCTCACACCTTCTATGGGTCATCTCGGTTATTACTTCAAAGTTTTTTCTTCTGCTGTTACTGTAGCACATCTCAATTGATTGGCCTCTTACAATTGGTATGCGTACTTCCACCTTTTCATGTTCTCTGTATGTATAAATATCTTCTGTCTGTGTGTTCCACTCTATGCATCTGAAGAAGTGAGCTGTAGCCCACGAAAGCTTATGCTGAGATAAATTTGTTAGTCTCTAAGGTGCCACAAGCACTCCTGTTCTTTTTGAGGATACAGACTAACACGGCTGCTACTTTGAAAGCTGAGAAATGTTTCTTGTCCAATCTTCTTGCTCCTTTCTTTCTTGAACTTCCTGCTAACAATTCTAGTCCTCAAGTGTTCCTCTCTCAAGTAAAGAACAGACATGGAAATGAATGTTAAATCATCCTTTTGTTCTCATAATCTTGTTTTCTGCTGCAACATTAAGCATTATTCTATGTTTCCTTTGTTAGGAGGGCATTCTTTTAGCACCTGTATTCAAAAATTTTTTATAGTATTTGATAATGTCCGTAGAGCTTCATGGCAACTTTCTGTTTAAAAAAATATGGAACATATCAGGCTTGATGCTGCAAGGAAGGTACTTAGCACCCCTGAAATTGACAAGCACATTCAGCTTCCACTGAAGTCAGGGAGCTCAACATCTCCAGAGGATTGTGTCCTTAAGCCTGATATTGCAGACACTTATGAACTGAGTAACTTTATTCATAGACATAGTTCCATTAACTTGGAGGGGATGTCTCCTGTGAGTAGAGTTACTCATGTGCCTAGGTATTTGCAGTGACCCTAAGGCACAATGGTAGTAGCTTCACTGGATTTGTGTTAAGACATATTCCACGGAGTACAGACTCTTAGAAATAAGAGACTGACATGTGCAGTTTGCTTTGTATCTAAAAACTACTTCACACTTACAACATGCTTACTACTTAGGCATAACTGGAACAATTAAGTCCTATTTTTCCCATAGTTAAAGTTGGCTTGAAGAATTTAGCAAAATGTTAAAGAGCCAAACATTTTGTGTGGGAGCAGAATTTGCTACTTGCTAACATGCAATCTCATGCAAATATATCCAGTTCTTATTTTGTTTGGAAACCAGAAGTTATCTGCATATAAAAGAGGTAAGAGTCTCCATACTAGCAATAGCTTAGTTGTAATTACCTCTAGTTCCCATTCAGATGCAGAATCTTAAATGGAATTTTGTGTTTGTATATATTTTACATTGCAGATTAAGGGACTTGTTAATTTGCAGTGGTCTGTCTCTTTCAATATCTTACACGTGTTTCAGTGCAGAAGTAAGTGCAGTGTCTTTCAAAGTGACTTTTGTGGTTTTGTTGTGGAATCACAGAAATGAAAAGACTCAGTTTCATTTCCAGGTTTTTGCTGACATTAAATTGTAAGGATATGGCTCTAGGTGTTTGTGAATGGCAGTACAACCCCGAGATTCAAGTGGTGCCTTGTTTGTTGTTCCTTCTATTTTTTTTTCCAGACTGAAAACATGAAACAGTAACAGATTTTGTTTTGTTTTCAAAGGAAAACAATCTTCCCCCCCCTTCCCGATTTCCACCACCTTCCTTGTGTGTGAATTTCCACTCTCTAAAAGAGTTGGTAGAGATGACTGCCTGATGTGTTGTTGGGATTATAAGCTGAAAATGTGGTGCAAGGAGAGCATAGGCGCGTGTTGCTTTTATTTGTTTTTTTCCAAGGGGTGATGCAGTAAACATCCTGACTTGTTAGTTTTGTATCATCTGGAGGGTATTTTAAGTAATTGGATTTTAAAAGAAATACTGTAGGGGAACCTTCAAAATACATGCTGGTAATCTTACCGTCTGTCCATGTATGGCAAATACTAAAACTGCTGATACCTTGCACTGACAACTAAGGAGGAGATTTATGCACAAAGTGCACATTCAAGGAAAACATCTCTTAAGAATTGAAAATGTGTTCATTTGTGAATCATGTTGTTCTCTGATTTGCCAGCTTCTCAATGAGGGCGCTATACTCAAGTATGAGAAGTTTCTTTCCGTGAAAGCAGGTTAAGTTTTCATCTCAAGGGGTCCCTTGTTGCAATAAGAATTTGAAGATGCATTAATATGACATGTTTTTTGTTGATTTTATGAATGGAAAACTGTTTTTTTAAGAATAAAAAGACAGACATTCTTCTATTTCAGGAAAAAAGTTACATCAGGCAGCTATTCTTAATAGGTAAATCTTCGTCTAAATGACTTTTATTTTACTACTTGCCTGTTTGTCTACAAAAGAAATATTTTGTATTTACTATGACTTGCTGGACTTGCTATTTTCTCAGGAAGCTGGCATTAATAAGAGTATATGCATCTGTACTCACTTTCATTAATTATCTCTGCAGTTTTTTATGTGCCATTCAGTTAGTGCAGATTGATGCTCTTTTGACCGAATCTTAAGCCTTTTTGTCACAATTGCATAGGTAAAAGGATTTGTAATTATCAGGCAAACGAAGTCAGTTGTGTTGAACTACAGCATGCACTTTGCCCATCTGTTGCAGTTTTGGATGTGACCAGGGATAGGAGGGAAGAAATGATGTAAACTCCCCTCCATTTTGGCGTTTGGGTTATGTTCTCCTCTGAGGATACTTTATTGAAAATTAGTAGCCCTGATGCCTTTTCTATGGCCCCATTCCTTCCAGTCTGTCACTGTGCACCACAGATTATGGTGACTTAATTATAACAGATGGCTAGATCCTTGCCCTGCTCTGGTGGCCTGGCTTTGAGGTATTTTCTTTGTATATTAACTTCAGAATCTGGACTCTTGCAGCCTGATTCAGTGTTCCTGTAATTGCCAGGATCAGGTCCATCTTATTATTCTGTGTCAAGAGCAATCATCAGTTGCTGTGTGGCTTAAAATTTGTGCAGAAAACTTGAAAAGTATGACTTTAAAATCCCACAAAACCATGGAACTTTAGATTTAAGATTGATAGAAGTAGAATGTCTGGATTATCTCATGTCACTATACTAATCTTCGTGGTTTTGGATACAAAAGTGTGATGGGGGACCAGCTCTATCTCAGCTATTTTAAAAAAAATACACACCCTTCTGTAATAAAGAAAATTGGGGTGGGGAGAAGAGAAATCCCTCTCTTAAACTTGTCCTATTCCTGTGTGGCTTGATAACAAAATAGAGATCTGCACCATTGGTGTAAAGATTGAGTGAAATCCTGGCCCTATTGAAGTCAATGGGACTTTTGTCATTGGCTTCAGTGAGACCAGGTTTTCGCCCTGAACCTTCCTCTGATCTATCCTTTGTCTAATCTGTATTTGCTTTCGATTTCAATTTCCTTGGGACAGGGGCATTCCTTCTTGCGTTAGCACAGTGCTGAGTCTGCTGATAGAACTTGGTTTAATAATAAAAAGCTGTTAGTGTGTTGTGTAAATAAGAAGTTAGAGCTTTGTAACTATTCAGATGAATCTGTACTGTGCTCTTTCCTCTTAAGTATTTGCTAACATATAAATATGTATCTTGGACTCTTTAGAACTTATTTACTCAGTATTGTATGATGGCTTCAAAGGAAGAATCATGGTCTATCAGGTCAAGGCTA